CAGGATGGTCTCGATCTCTTGACCTCGTGATCCACCCGCCTCGGCCTCCCAAAGTGCTGGGATTACAGGCTTGAGCCACCGCGCCCGGCCTCATCAGCAATGTTTTAACAGAGATGGGTATCACTTTGTTGCTCAGACTGGTCTCGAGTAATCATCCCTCCTTGGCCTCCCAAAGTGCTAGGATTACAGGTATGAGTTCCTTGTTAAGAATGGTCATCTTTTCACTTAAAGGAAGAACTTTATGGCTTCCCTTAAGCATACCTGAAACTCCAACATCACTACTCTTGTAATTTATGGCTGTTATTAAGCAAAGTAAGGGTTACTTGCACACAAGCACCACAACACCACAGCAGCTTAACTGAGAGCCAAGAAGACTACAAAATGACTAATGAATGGGGAGTGTTGACAGTGTGAAGACGCTGGACCACGTGATGATTCACATCCCAGACGGGATAGAGGAGGACAGCATAAACTTCATCACATTACTTAGGACAGTGTACAATTTAAAACCTATAAATTGTTTACTTCTGGAATTTTCCATCCATTTAATATTTGCAAACGATGGCTGACTACAGGGAACTGAAACAGCAGAAAGTGAAAGCATAGGTGGGGGGACTATTATACAGTCGTCCCAATTCCAGAAACATCAAGCTGGGCTATAAATCTCCCTGAAATGGCTCTTCAGTATTTACCCTGGGTCAGCTCTAATGTCATTTGTGCTTCATGTGAAATGTATTGAATTTAGTGTGTGCTCTCTTTAGGCAATGACCAAGGTACTCCAATGAGCAGCCCAATCTCTAGATAATGTTACCACTAAAAGTCAAGTTCACATTTAGGTATTAAAACTGTAATTAGAGGTACTTACCAATAATGTTTTCAACCATCATGATCTAGCTAGATTCTTGAGCAAAGAAACATGAGAGCAGCTGTGCTCCCACACTAAAGAAAAGGGGACACTAGGCGTGGGGGTTCACACCTGTAATCCTAGCACTTTGGGAGGCCGAGGCGGGTGGATAATGAGGTCAAGAGATCGAGATCATCCTGGCCAACATGGTGAAACCTCATATCTACTAAAAATACAAAAATTAGCTGGGCACAGAGGTGCTCACCTATAGTCCCAGCTACTCAGGAGGCTGAGGCAGGAGAATCACTTGAACCCGGGGACAGAGGTTGCAGTGAGCCGAGATTGTGCCACTGCACGCCAGCCTGGACGACAGAGCAAGATTCCGTCTCAAAAAATAAAAGAAAGAAAGAAAGAAAGAAAAGGGGAATGTACTTCATTGCTTACCTTTTTATCAATGTCGGGGTCAGTGGTGTATTTCTTGGGGTGGGCATGATCTCCCTGCTCTTCAGAGTCTGTGTCAGAGCACTCAGAGCTTCCAATATCTTCTGAATCAGAACAAGTCTTTTCCTCCGCTTGATTTTCTAGGAGTGCAGGGACCTTGAAATTATTAAAGAATCATGTTATTCTAAACCAATTAGTTATGTGTTGTTGTTAAATGTGTTAATGCCAGAATTCAGATTTTCGGCTCACAAATAATATGTTAAAACTAACATCCTGTACTGAAACATCAAAACACGAGAATGAACACCAGGAGGGACACCTGAAAGTAGCCATTCCAAGTGAGGTTCAAGAACATGACCAAATGAAGGAACCTGGCTTGACTGGGGGACCTAGACCAATGATACAACTGCTCTGCTACTTTCAGCTAATCGCGAGCCTTTAGTTGGGATTGGGAAAGAGGTGAAATACACATACAGGTAAAAAATAAAGATTTATACAGATAATTTCACAGCTGTTTTCCTGTGAACCACATTAATAGCAATAAACTAATCCAATTGAAAGGGAAAACAATATTCAGAGATGAGAAATTTTCATCACTTCCTGAAATTTAGCAGTTGTCTAATACAGTGCTTCCTGATAGTTTTTAAAAGAGTGAGGATTTCCTTTTTATAAGAAAAAAAAGCGTATCTTTAGAAGTCAATTGTACACAAGATTTTCTAGCTCGCTGCAATAAAATCTTCATGCTCTGGAATCCAAAGTATAACTTCCTTATGATACCTGTTATTATAACTCAGAAATACAAAATACCAGAATTTCCCTAATTAAATTCATTCCACAGTTTGAATTAAATTCAAATCACAGTTTGATTTTAAGAAAGCAAACTGTGATCCTTTATTTTAATCATCAATTAGGA